ATGTAAAATAGCTAACTAGTACAGAGTAAAAAGGGGACGCCGTGGCTCAGTGGCTAAGACACTGAGCTTGTCGATCAGAAAGGTCAGCAGTTCAGCAGTTCGAATCCCTAGCGTCACGTAACGGAATGAGCTCCCGTTGCTTATCCCAGCTTCTGCCAACCTAGCAGTTCGAAAGCATGTTTAAAAATGCAAGTAGAAAAATAGGGACCCCTTTGGTGGGAAGGTAATGGCATTCCATTCGCCTTCACCGTTTAGTCATGCCGGCCACATGACCACGGAGACCGCTGGCTCTTCAGCTTTATAACTGAGATGAGCACACTGCCCCCTAGAGCCAGAAACAACTGGCATGTATGTGCAAGGGGAACCTTTACGTTTATCTTTTAAAGAGTAATTAAACAGCACATTTTAGAAAAGTGGTATGTCCACCCAACTCAGTGTGACTTTGGGTGGCTTACAGAAATAAAACCCGAATACAAAACCCAATCTCCTTGGTTATAACCATCAAACCAGGCACTTGATGGACTCCATATCCGTCTGGGATCCCCAGGCCCATTGGTCAAACTTTGTCTTCAAGGTCCTTTGAAGGAGAATCAAAGTGGGGGGCAATTGTCTCTCTCTACAGCAGGGCCCCCCAAACTTGGCAACTTTAAGACTTGTGGACTTCAATTCCCAGAATTCTGAGAGTTGAAGTCTACAAGTCTTAAAGCTGCCAAGTTTGGAGATCTCTGCTCTGCAGAGGTGATATTCTGCTGGGAGGGAGTCACCACGGAAAAGGCCTTTCTTGGTCCCACCAGATGGACCTCCTTAAGAGAAGGTACCCATAACACACCCAGCCTCTCCTCCACTCTTGTGAGTTGGGTAGAGGTCCTTCAAATAAGCTGCTCTCAAGTTTATGTCCTGTTTTCAACTACAAATGAACAAACAGAAGATGCAAACATGTCATTTAATATTATTTTATTTATTTGTTTGTTTGTCAAACATGTGCAAGATAAAAGTACAAGTGTGAACATAAACAAGAACAAAGGGAGTAAATACAGATAAATGGGGACAGTAAGACAGGGACGGTAGGCACCCTGGTGCGCTTATGCACGTCCCCATTAAGGACCTCTTAGGAATGGGGTGAGGCCCACGGTAGACAGTCTGAGGTTGAAGCTTTGAGGGGTTGAGGCTGTAACAACAGAGTCGGGTAGGACGTTCCAGGCATTGACCACTCTGTTGTTGAAGTCATATTTTCTGCAATCGAGTTTGGACCTTGAGTTTGTATCAGTTGTTTGCCCACATATTATTGTGGTTGAAGCTGAAGAAGTCATTGACAGGCAAGGTGTTATAGCAGACAATTTTGTGAAATATGCATAGATCGGACCGCAGGCGGCGCAGTTCCAGATTGTCCAGGCCCAAAATTTCGAGCCTGTAGGCATAGGGAATTCTACTGTGAGTGGAGGAATCCTATAGCTCAGGGGTCCCCAACCACCGGTCTGGGGACCGGTACCGGTCCGTGGAACAATTTCTACTGGGCTGCCAGTTTGCTGGGCGCCGCCATCTTGTTTTGATGAAAAAGTGCTTCCGGTGAGCTTTTCCGGGTAGAAAGCGGCGTTTGGGTGCTGAAAGAATCCTCGTGCCTTAGTTTCATCGGGAGGGGGGGCGGCTTCAAACAAAACTAAGGCGCGAGGATTCTTTCAGCACGCATGGCAAGGCGAGCCGAGTGACCGTCCCGAAGCCGTCGTGAAGCCCATCGACACAGGTACAAAGGAGGAGTTGAAGCTGGCAGGGAGAAGCAGGGGACGGCTGGCTGGCCAGTCGCTTGGCTCGCCTTGCCATGAGTGCTTGATGCCGGTACCGGGCCGCGGATGATTTTGTGATGCTGGTACCAGGCTGTGGCACAAAAAAGGTTGGGGACCACTGCTACAGCTCCTACAGAATCCTACAGCTACTCCATGACTTAACTATTCATTTAGTGACCGAAGTTACAACACCACTGAAAAAAGTGACTTATGGCCATTTTTCACATGGCAGTTTCAGCATCCCCATGGTTATGTGGTCAAAATTTGGATGCTTGGCATGTATTTATAATGGTTGCAGCATCCTGGGATCTTATGATCACGTTTTGTGACCTATTTGACAAGCGAAGTCAACGGAGAACTTAGATTCACTGAATGACCATGTTACTATCTTAATAACTGCATCAATTCACTTAACAACCATCTGAAGAAAGATCGCAAAATGGGAGGAAACTTATCTATTTTACTTAGCCCTGGAAATTTAGGGCTCACTTCAGAGGTGGTATTCAGCAGGTTCTGACCAATTCTGGAGAACCGGCAGTGGAAATTTTGAGTAGTTCAGAAAACCGCCA